TAACTGACTGATCTATCTGTCTGTGTTACACTGAATATTACAAACTACACTTCTGTCAAATAGCTGATCTATTTTTTATTTTGTAAATCTATTTTTTAGTATCTATTTTTTTGTACATTCTTAATTTTTATTTTTTATTTAAATTGTACTGTGTTCACTTTTTGTCTGCAATCTTAGCTCTTTGCTGCCGTAACACTGGATTATCTTATTTTATGTATAGCCAAATAAACTCTCTTTATGACCATGTTATAGATTGAGTTTTTAAGAGTTTGAGGTTTTTTTTTTTTTTAAGAACAAGTTAATGTGTAATTTTACATTTACATTATTGTATATTTTTTTTTTACATTATTGTATTTTTTTACATTATTGTATTTTTTTAATTTAAATGATGTAAATATGTTTGATCTGTTTTTAACTTCTATTTTTATTTTTTATAAGTATATTCCTGTCCCCTGTTTTCTGGAGCTGCTATAATGCACAAATTTCCCCCACGGGGGATCAATAAAGTTTATCTTTATCTTATCTTTATCTTTTAACTGAACTGTTACAAAGACATTAAATGCTCTTAAATAATTTATCAGATAGGAAATTGGTGAACATCGTGTTTCAGTAAACCTTGAATGCAAAGCAGTAAAGCCTTGTTTTCCACACGAACGAGGAGAAAGGACACTGAAAGCACAAATCGTGTGGCTCCTGGTCAGATGTAAATTATAAATACTCACCTCTTCTTGTGGTGGATCCATCGAGTGTGAAGCTTTGGGCTGCTGTGATGCTTCACTCTGCTCTTGTTTGATGCCTCCCATAATCTGCGTCCGTGCACTTCTCTAGAAATGTCAATACAATTAGGACCGATGTTACATTTCAGCATTATTTTCCCTTTGCAGATGCAGCTTTTTAAGCTAACCTGGCTGCTAGCAGGTCAGTGCAGCTAACTGTACGCAAAACGCCAATATATTAACAAAAAGGTCATTCAAAACGACTCGCTATTTATCAGAACAAAAACATACACCAGTATATATTTAATCGCACACAATAACGGATAGTAAATTGGAGTTAATTACAGTTTTTTACTTATTTAAGATAATCGTCTTCTAACTCACCCGATAAATTGTGTATCTGTCGGTCAAACAGGAAGAGAGCCCTGGCGCTCCTCTGATTGGTTAGTAAGGAGATGGCTGATTGGTTAGATGGAAAGAACCCGCCCTTCACACCATCCTTCCGTACTTGCAGCGGGTTTGATGTTTATGCAGTTGTTTTGCCTTTTTCGCAGGGCGTTTGTGTGTTTGCATTTGTTTCGATAGTTTGCGTTTGCTTTTGAATGTGCAGCGTTTTTCTAAATGTCTGTCGTTTCAGCGAAGCGTATGACCCCTACCAGAAGTCACTTTTATGACTGACTGTCCTTAAGTTAGTTATAACTTTTTATGAATCTCGGAAAATCTCACAATGCAAATTCCTTCTTTATGTAGGCTATTGTTTTATTGACTGCAAAACCAAACCACCTATGTTTATTAATCCCCAAACCAATTGCCCCAAGAGGGATTAATAAAGTAGTTTGAACTGAATTGTTGAATGAACAGGTTATCACACTGAGAAAAACAGAGAAAAATATCACTGAGCATGAAGTTTCCAAAATGAGCCGAAGACAGGCAAGATGTTGAAACAGACCAGGACAATCTGGGAGATGACAGTGTAGCAATTTTTGCCATAAGGGCAAGGCAGGGTACAGTACGGGCAGATACGTGCAGAACTGAGCATGAAATTAGAGCAAGGAGATATGAACAGGGGAGTCAGATCAGCAAGACTTACAACTGAGGGGAAATTGTGGAACTGGAATCAATAAATTACTTATTTTCATAAAAGCAGGTTCTGTAAAGAGCAAAGAAAAGTCCAAATCTGGTGTATGTAAAAAAAAAAAGTGCTACAAATGTAAAAACATGAGCATAAAAATTTTAAGAAAAAAACAGGTCCAACGAAAATAATTTAAAATAAGCATTGAAACTGTTAAAAGCAAACAATTTAACAGTTAAGGAACAACAGCGTTATGAAAGAGTCATGGAGTGTCGGTGTGCCATGGCAAAGTCCACTGTATCAAGGGAAAGCTCTTTAAAGAGGAATGTTTGTAAATTGTTTTATTTTTTTAAGATTAAATTAACTGTTGTGCCCTTAGGTGGTCAGGTAAGCACATTACATAGGCGGGGAACCGCAGATTAGAAGTCCCAATCCCCCATTGCATAGAACTTCTCCTGGGTGAATGGAGTTGATGCCAGAGCAGAGATTTCTGATTTCCAAGAGGTAGACAGGGGCGTTGCCGTGGATGCACTGATGAGTGAAAAGGTAGATTTTGTGTTGAATTCTGAGGTGGATGGGAAGCCAGTGAGCTCTCAGTCACAATCCAAATTGCAGACTACTTACAAGGAGCTCGGCATCTTCTTCAAAATCTGGCTATCCCACCAACCAAAACTGAACCCAATCAGGTTTATGGATCTCAGCAGATCACTCTCAGGTAGATGGTGAAGATCAACACGAGGATAAGCATTTGCAGAATGATGAAAAGCAGGAGCAGAGGAGGAGTATAACAGAAAAACAAAAGGGGAAGCAGGGATAATGGAAAGGAAAAGGTGAATGGCAAAGTGTCTTAGGCAAGATTCTTAACTCCTGAGGACATAGCTTTTTGTGAGAGAGAAAGAGCAAGTCAGAGAGGGAGAGCTATATTTAAATTGAATTAAATGTGTATTTGAATCCCCAAGGGGTAATTCAAGTTTACATTATGTTATTGAAGGACATGTTACTCACACACACAGGCCCAAAATAGGCAAGTACACACAAAGAACCTAAGGACACACGTCAGAGTGAGGGGCCTGCCCACAGGGGGAGCTCCTGAGCTGGTAAGGGTTTGCAAACTGCACATTAGAGTGGCCTTTTATTGTTCAGCCTAACAGGCACACCTGTGTGATAAATAGCTGTGATCAGCATCTTAATATGCCACAACTGTCAGGTGGATAGATTATCTCATAAGCTTTAAGGACGCAAGTAAAAAACTGATGGACGATGTTTGAGTTTCCCTAAAAATCTGTTTGTGGTCCATGGGAAAGAAAACTGAAGACACAGGAAAAAGGCACTATTACTTTGAAGTAAATATAAACTTAAGTAGATCTATCTGAATTACACTTAATTCAAAATACACACATATTTAGTATGAAATAAAACTCAGGCATCATGTATAGACAGAGCTTGTTGAAGTTGCTTCAACAGCTGTGCTTCAAAGACCTAACAGACTTCAGATTTATACACATACCTGTTAGACCCAAGTGATTATCCCTGGTTTTTACATCTACATCTTTACTGAAACTCAATATCTGCAACCAAGTATGCAAATTGATGCACCCACCATAACAGGGTTCCCACTCTTTTCTAGAGATCCTCTTTCAGGACATTTTCAGTGACAATTTAGCCGTTGTGACAGGAACACATCGAGCCCATACACCAGTGTTCCTTTCTGTGGAAATCTGATTCAAAGGATGTGTAGTCTATGGCTATAACCTTTAACTCTTACTATGAATAATGCAAATACATCTGAAGGTGTATAGCATTTAAATAATACAGCTACTTAATAAAATAAAGGTTTGCATTTATTATAAACATTTTCTTATTTCTCAAAAAAAGTAAAACTAGACAATGTGAAAAATAAAGAGCCAACAAAAGTAGCCTTACTAAAAAAAAGTGATAATGACAACTATTTTCCTTAAAAAACTCATTACAGATACCTATCCAGCCAAGTGGCCAGTATTAAAAACAAAAAATACATTTAACATTCAAATAAATGTTTCTTGTTGAGTTCAGTTTGACCTGCCTGCTTCCCTTTCTCTGCTAACACTTATTGACTGTGATTCTTATTCTTTATGCAATACAGAATATATAGAAGAGAAAATAAAGAACATTTGACAATGAAAACGTTTTTATGATATTACACAGTCCTATTCCACAGCCTTGAACTTAATCCTTTCATTGCAATTCTGCATCAACAATATGTCAACATGATCAATATAAACAGAAGCGAAACTTCCCACTATGAAACTTAGAATCTGTAGTTAGGGTAAAGTTTGCCACACATGTATTTCAAGCATTTGATCTATACCCCAATACAAACTACAGCAAGAAGCCAGAAGTGACTGGTATTTTAACATTGGACATTTTGGAGACTAGTTATTACCCGAGTGTCATCCAGCCTGCGGTGCTACTGTGTGGTTAGACTTTACAGCGTGTAGCCTATTAAAACTCCTACTACATTATCTTTTAATTTCAGTATTAAGTGCTCTCCTCTATACTTTCTCTTTAATGCTTTTATCTACTTTGACACCATTTAGCATTGCTTTAATTAACTTTTTAGTGTACCCCTTTGATCGCTTTTACTGTTAATACGGTGTATTGTTGCTCTCAAAACCTTTTCATGCAACTGTTTCAGTCGCTGTCATCTGTTCCTCCTGGTCTGTTTTCACACTGCTGGGTTTTTGGTTGACTAGGTCCTTATGCTGGTATTTGTTCTTGGGTGTTTGGTTAATTGACATTGTCTGGGTACTTGTCTTTTAGATCTTGTTTGGTTTTTTGAAAAAAAAAAAAAAAAAAAAAGGAAGTGCCAAGAAGTTTATAAACAAACCTTTTGTTATCCTTAACATAATTGAGCCCTTACAGATGACCATGTCATAGGCTTTTGGTAACTCCGACATGAAATGAAGAGTAGGTTTTAATAGCACAAGATTTAGCTTTTCTCTAATTTTCCATGACTGGAAAATTGTGCAACTGTTTTCTAGGACAAGTGGGAACCTGGCATAAGCACAGTAATGCTATCTTTATTTGCTTAGGTGAAGAAGGGTTAAGACACAAATAAAGTCAAATAGTAAACTAGTATAGCCACAAAGTAAACTTGTCACATTTTTAAGTTTCAACCACATCTGACAGCATCCAAATGATCACCCCACAAGAATTAAATCAGCAAGGACCAGTCAAGTTTTTATTTTATTTTATTGTTTACAATTTTTGTGGTTGTTTATGAATTATTGTCAATTCTTTTGGCAAACATTAGTGCTCACGGTGTACTGTACAGTCCGGTCCCACAATATAGACTCAAATTTCATGAAAACAGGAATCAGGCAGGAGCCAAGTGGGTCCAGGCGTTTACAATTTGTCCAGGTAGTTGTCCAGCGCTGGGACACCTTCCTTCAGACCCTTACGTTTGCGTGCGTCTGTGACAACAATGCCAGGTTTGGATGCAGGGTCCATGGGGTCTCCCTGGAGGATCTGCCAATGGTCAAACACACACTGTGGGAAGGCCTGGCCACCGGTGTTTGAACGAAGGTCAGCTGTGAAACCTGAAAATGGACAGAGCAAAATAAGGGTAAATATCATGCCGATAGTCCATGAAATTGTGTGTAAAAATGAAGTAAAAAATAAACAAGGTCCCCACTACAGACCCCCAGTACTATCTGGGTCTGTACCACACCCAAGTATGTGAATGTTAATAAAAATACTGCTATAACTGCCTTACTTTCTCCACAATGATGTGTTAGCTAAGAATAAAAATCTAAGTCTCCAATACAGGTATAAACAATTACTTTTATACCAAGTACATAACTACCTTCATTAACAATCACTATTTGTTCTGTGTGGCATAAATGCGTCAGAATAAGTTTGCAACATACTATCTGAAGGATTTTGGGTTGCTTAATGTTTGATTCTAGCTCATGTTAAGCATCGCAAACCAAGACAAACAATAAATTGACTTTGACTCCATATTTGGACAGATTGTTATTGAACATAAATAGGGTTAGATAATTTAACAGAATCACAGGTTCAAGAACAAACATTTTGGCTGCTCTGCTCAGAAGACGTCTTTTAATATTAAGGGGACTTACCGAATGACTCCATGACAGGCAGGTAGGCCTTGGTAACATACATGGGTGTTCCCACAACTTGGGACTCCTCAAACACGTGACCACGCCTCCTATTCAACACACCGTAGATTCCACCGATTGCGCCTTCGGGACACTGCAAAGTTAAAGAGCGTTAAAGACAACACTCAAATTTATAAAAATGACTGAATAGTCAGGTATAAATAGTTATCAATACATGTACAAATTGACTTAAAACATCAGGTGGTGAAGAAACAAAATAACAGAGATCTCTATTGGTGCTGACCTGGATCTCCACCAAGTAGACTGGCTCCATCATTCTTGGCTCTGCAGTGAGCTCACATGCGTACAGAACTCTGCGAGCTGTTGGAATAATCTGACCACCACCACGGTGAATAGCATCCGTGTGCAGGGTAACATCATGGATGTCAAAGCGAATGGCACGCATGTTTTCTTCACAGAGGACACCCTGAAAGAAGAAATTGAGACAGCAATTTTAGACATGTATATCATCTAACCCAAAGGAGAAATGAAACAAAATGACCCGAAGAACAAAAATGATTTAGGCTCAAACCTGTGAACTTCAGTACCCATTTCTAAATTGCTGACATTGTATATAAACTTCCACTGCAGGAGTTGGTAACAGAGTTTAATTACTCTAGCTAATACTACTTCAGAAGAAGGTGGATTCATAAAGTCTATGTCACTCAAGGCTTCCAGCACAAAACTTTACTCAGAAAGCTATAACTTAGGGCTTTAAATCAGCCCACATTGAGAATACATGTAGTCCAAACAATTTAAATGTTACGTATGCTGACACTTTAGACAGGAGCTGAACCCTTTTAAACCAAGTTATATTAACTATTAAATTTGGTGGTCTCTTTACCTCCTTGACAGCCCACTGGAATCCAGCCACAACACTATCCTTGATCTCATTCAGGTACTGCACTCCCTTGGTTACATCCACCAACAGGTTGGGGCCAGTTCCATCAGGTCCGAAGCACCAGATCTTTCTGGCCTCACCGACATCCCACTCAAACTTGTCAGCAAGGTAGCGGGCACGAGCCTTCATCTCCTGTCGGGCGCTAACATCTCCCTTCTCAATGTCTTCTGCCAGACCATCTTCGCAGGGACGGGCCCTCATGAACAGACGGTTGTGCTTGTTCGGTGACTTGGACAGGCACATGACACTTGATTCTGCAGAGACGGTCTCTCTGTAGGACACCACTGGATCAGATTTCTAAAATGTAAGCAAGTTTCAAAGGTGAAATGGTCATCTTTGGCAATTTCAACAACTAAAAAAACCCATAATTTTTTGTAGACCACAAGTTAAGCTCAAAAGTGAATTTTAAAAAGATCAATTTTGTTTATAATTACCTTGAGTGGAATACAAGCATGATCCTCCTCCAGATCTTTCAAACAGATCTCCAGATGCAGCTCTCCAGCACCAGCAACAATATGTTCTCCAGACTCCTCAATGATACATTGCACCATAGGATCAGACTTGGACAGACGCTTCAGACCCTCCACCAGCTTGGGCAGGTCAGCAGGGTTTTTGGCCTCTACAGCAACTCTTACCACAGGGCTCACACTGAACTTCATCACTCTCATGTTGTGTGCCTGCTCATAGGTTGTGATCGTTCCAGTCTTCACCAGGTACTGGTCCACTCCAACCAGACCGACGATGTTACCACAAGGCACATCTTCAATGGGCTCAACATAACGTCCCATCATCAAAATGGTCCTGTAAAGAGCAATGCATGCATTTAGAAATGAAAGACATTTAGGCATGTCCAATACCCGATTAGGCCTGAATTGCCTCTCAAAACCCATCACACTCTTATCGTAATTGCCAACTTAAAGACCACCAGCAAAGATTCTAACCTCACCTCTGAATTGGTTTAACGTAGAGGTCTTCCTTCTTTCCAGGAACAAAGTTTGGTCCCATAATGCGCACCTTCAGGCCAGTGGAGACACAGCCAGCGAACACACGGCCAAATGCATAAAAGCGACCCTTGTCAGTGGTGGGGACCATTTTTGAGATGTACATCATCAGGGGGCCCTTGGGGTCACAGTTCTTGATTGCTGTAGATATATATTTAAAAAAATAAAAAACTCATTAGTTTGGGTCCAATTCAAGCCACACCCAGATTTCAGGTCTCACTGAGCAAAACTGAAATGCTGGATTAACAAAATAATTCTGTACATAAACAAAATTAGGCTAGATCTGCTTCATACCCATGGCAGCCTCGTCATCTCCAGGTCCTTCATAGAGCAGCTCACAACGATACTTCTGAGCAGTGACAGGTGAGGGCAGATGGATAGTGATCATCTGAAGGAGGGCCTCACCAGCAGGGAGCCAGCGACGCATAACAGCCTTCAGGAGTGGTTTACCCTCCTTGTCCCTGTCTTCAGCATCCAACTTGATCTCCAACTTCTGGATCAACTTTGCAGTCTCTTCTTTCTTAAAGTTCATGATTGCATCGAAAACCTAAAAGGGGGAAAAAAAATCATGAATTAGTAGATTTGAATAAAACATGGCCAATACAAGGGTGCAAGAGTGTACCACTGTTTGTGTCCTGCTCAGGTTGAAGTTTATCATCACTGGTTAATCAGGTCAAAGTGAAGAATGTTTAACTCATCACTTGCAGGCAGAAAAAAATGGTGTTCATTTTGCTGTAATTTTTAAAACCTTTTGAAATGTAATTTAAATGACTGGATTTTTATCTTTTCACCTTGAAGATGGGGTCCAGGATAAGAGCAACAAAGGTGCGAGGGTGTTTGGTGCCATCAGCTCCGTTAGGATTCTTAAGGAACTTTCCATTGGCGGCATCGAAGTATCTGAAGGAGAGATATATTCATTTGTCCCAAGGGAAAAAGCAAGGGTGGAAAGAAATACAGGGGTGCAAACTCATCAGGGATGAAAAAGGTGACATGGATCCAAACCCCCTAGGCGGGTCCAGGGGCATGCTCCCCTGGGAGGATTTTATTTATTTTATTTTAATATCAGCTTTGAAATGTTAATTTACAGACAATTTTAGCATTCAGACCAACTAAAGAAGCAGTGCAAACAATAATAAAACACAATTGCTTGTCTATATTCTGTTCTGACTTTTTGATAAAGCTTCAGTGAAACATGTAAAACCCATACTCCCAACCATGAGTCCCTTTTTATAAATGGGGTGAATTTGCAGAACTGGGCTTACCATGTTCCACTAAGGTGTGATGGGAAGGGCAGTCACTATACAAGAGTCTGAGAGCATATCGTCCATCATTAAATATGTAACATTATCAATATATTAACCTTATGTTTTGTTCCTGCTGATTTTCAGCTAGCACGCATTTCTCTCAACAACTTTACCTATGGCTAGCAAACAGTAAATATGATCAGACAGTACGTATCACAGAAAGGCTGGCTTGCTAGCCAGACTTCAAATCTTCCCACAGTGTTTTCATGGAAAAATAAACGTTACGCAAATTAGCCATGTGCTGTACATTGCGACTCATTGAATCAGGTTTCATGCTTCTTGCAGTCGGCGTGGCGATATTGCACAATCGCGGTCGGTGCGAGAAAGCTCCGCGAAGGGAGGGTCCTTTCTTCAGACCGCAATCAGTATGAAACAAATCGACGTTTGCAGGGGCCTTGCTCTGAGTCATAGACCCCCCTCCAAATATTTTTATTGCAGATCTAAATGAATCACACATATGACCTATTTGGGATCCAAAACAGCAAATTTCACAGAATGACAACAAGTTTGCACCCCTGGAAATACCAATGAAATGGTCAAAAGCTGCTGCATTGAAACAGACTATTTTAAGGAAATACATTTGTGTTTCTGTGTCTCTAGCTATCAGAGGGGTGCATCACATTTCTACACATGTTGGCCATGTGATTAAAGTTCTGTTTGAGACTCACCTATCACCCCACAGTTTCTTCATCATGTCTTCCACCTTCTTGCAGTGCTCGTCAGGTGTCAACTGGGCGTTGCCCTTGGCAGCAAACTTGGCTGCGTACATCTCAGCAAACTGCTTGAGGGTGAAAGCCCATCCGTGGAGTCCAGAGCCAAAGCCAATGGTACCAATGACTGGATCAACCTAAGAGAGTTAAAACAGCCCATAAGGACATGAACAAATACACACCATTAAACTATTCAAAGAGCTCATGTCAGATGACTTCAGTGCCAAATGCTGCTCTTAGGCCCAACAGCAATAAAACAGAACATGCCCATTATCAGCACTCATCAGTAAGTCATTTTTAACCCTGATAAGAGCAGTTTTGGTACTGTGTTGTTTGACAAACCCTGACTGGAACTTTTTGATATGAACGGCAGTTTGGAAATTGTTCTGTAATTCTGTGGAAGGAATTGATCAAGGTTAGGCTTTTTTAGTAAGGGCTGGATGCTTACTTGTTCAAAGTAATTGGGAACATAACCAGAAGTGAAAGAACAGCTCAACAAGTTTTAAGAAACTGGAGCATATATAAAAAAACCTCTTTCAGGAGTGAGGTGGTACGAGACACAGGGTACTTCTCATGCATCATATTTTTAATTTCACTTGAACTGGAAGTTGTTCCATGTCCCCATGTTGAAGGATGTCTCAAGTCACTTATTTAGGCACTGAGGAGCGAGGAAATAACTTGGAGGAGCAATGATCGAGGAAACATGAGACCAGCCTTCCAGATGTCTTTCTACTGACAGACTCGCCCTGTCTCGAATATCACTCATTGATGGAAGCTGCAGCGGATTGGACTTCAGTGAAACTTAACATCAGCAGGATTTAATAACAGAAAAAGACACCAACAGGCCAGGTTGTTCTTCATGCGCAGGTGCTTGTTATCAGGTAAAGTACACAGACTTAAACACTGTTACTGTGTATTTTATCATAATTAACACAGCGTATTTGTGCAAACATAAACAGCTGTTAAAGCTGAGCGACGATCAGGTGATGTCCCTACAGAGGAAAGGACATCTAATGCCTTTTAAAACAGTTCCACTGCTTCGTTTCCTTGCGTCTCTTCTTGCATCTCTGGGGGCCGGGACTAAGACGCAAGTGTGGATGCAATTTAAGAGACATGATAAGTACCCACAGTATCTTTGAGCCCCGGAAGCAAAATGAACTGAAAATGGCTGAGCAGTTCAGAACAGGATTATCATCAGAGTATGCTGCAGTTGAAGTTGTTAAATTATACATTTAATAAAAATCTTGGATTATTGTGGTTATTAGTGATTAGGTTGGAGAAGTAGTCAACTCAGTCAAATAATACAGATGGAGTTTGCTTGAGTAGGCCGAGGGTAAAAGTGTGTAAAAAATTTAGAGGCATTATGTTTATTTAGGATGTGGGAATGTTTAGTACTGCAGAGTTGTTTCAGGGCAGTATGGAACACAGTGTTTAAGTTGACATAGGTGAAAAAACTAAGTCTAATGAGTCTCTTGTGAGTTAGCTCAGATACATGCTGTACTAGGTTAAAACACTGATTTTTTTTAAACTCTGTTGCAAAACTATTAGAAGGATCATCAATATGGATATTAAAATCACCTGCAATGAAATCTTTGTCAAAGTGTAAAACAACGAAAGATGAAAGTTCAGAAAATGCATTTACAAAACTGGAATTTGGTCTAGGTAACAAATTCCAGACTGCAAAAAACATTGTGTGTCAAGGTACTTGCACCCAATCTGCTAGGATGGATACCACCTCTCCCATAAAAGGAGGGGTGATTTCAAGAGGTTAAAATTATCAATGAAAGCAGTATTATGGACTGAGCAGGTAGACTGCACCCATGTCTGGAGGCTTAGGATGCGGCTAAAACAACCGGCACCTTGGATGAGCGGAGGAATTGGGCCGGAGACAAAGACACACCCGCCACAGGTATCCAGCGAGTGAAGGAGTCTGTTTAAGTCACATTTTAATATTTCTGAAGATTGCTTTGAAACATCATTGCAGCTGATATGCAAGATGGTGTTTTTATAAGCATGGGTGTTTTGTCAAGAGACTGGGTGTGGCATATTCAACTTTTGTCTAAAAACCTATTATTAATAAAATGAAAATCAGATCTGATGTAGGTCAAGGCAGTGTTTACCCCAGATGACATTTGAGCAGGCCACCAAGGTAGATTTATAGTTGCCAAAGTTGATTTCTGCCCTGTTTTTACTTGTTCATAAAATTACAGAGTGCACAAGAGAAGGAGTGGATATGCTGCACAGAAAGGACTACACCCAGACCTCTGTGAGCACACAGATTTCATGCAAAACCATGTGCCGTTTATGAAACAATGAACATCATTTTGCAAGGGAATAATCCAATGGCTAAAAAAAGTGTCTATGGGGAAAAAAAAGTCTCACATGCGACTAGTCAGAACAGAGTAGAAACACATCAGCTTCAGAGAGACCTGCTGTCTGTACTTCCCTTTTGTATTGCACAGACTGAGGTGCAACACTCATCAAATATAATATGTACTATGAGTCCAGGCATAATGTGGCTACAGTGTTGCAAGGTTCAAACAAATACTTACCATGATGTGACCCATGGGTCCATTCTCGTCCTCTCCGTAAGTAGAGATGATGACATTGATTGACTCAACAATACGCTGAAAGGTCTGGTAAAGGTCTTCAGGTTCCAGCTGCAACTCAAGCAGGGCACGGTCCATCTTGTTCATCATCAGGACTGGCTTGATACGCTCACCAATGGCCTGACGAAGCACTGTCTCAGTTTGCACGCAAACACCTGGCAAGTTAACAGAATGTGACAACGTCAAACTAAGGGAAACGGTACAGTAGTTACAATAGTATTAATGATACAAGTTTTTATTGCAGATTAATTGCTGTACAATTATGAATGATGTAAACTCAATTAGTTTACATATATAGCAGCCTCAGCCTTTCATTTCAAAATGTGTACCAGAATATTTAGAAGTGCCCTTACCAGACACACAGTCCACAACAACCAGGGCTCCATCAGTGACACGAAGGGCAGCAGTCACTTCAGAGGAGAAGTCAACGTGCCCAGGTGAGTCAATCAGGTTGATCAAGAAGCCCAGACCATCCTTTGTCTGCTTAATGAAGGCCATGTCATTTTCACTTAGCTCGTAGTAAAGGGAAATGGCGCTGCAAGACAAGAATAAGTTGAAAGACAATGTAAGATGACGCATGTAAAAATTAAACTGTCAATTAACTGGTTGTCGTAACAAAACACACGGAACTTGCGCTGTAAAATTCTGAATTGAACATAGTGAGTGACGATAACCAAGCTGGCACACCATAAGATAAGACCAATTTCCAAAAAGAGTTGGAAAAATAAGTTACTTACGTAGACTTGATGGTGATGCAACGTTCCTGTTCATCTTTACGCGTGTCTGTGAAGCGGGTCTCTCCTGCACGGGAACCGGCAATGATGCCAGCCTTTGACACAAGCGAGTCCGTCAATGTGGACTTACCATGGTCAACGTGCGCAATCACAGACATGTTACGAATGTTGGACTTTTTGTCCATGATGGTACGAATTTGGTCTATGGTGAAGTTCACCTAAAAAAAAAAAAAAAAAGGATGAAAGGGAGAATAGATCAGTAAAAACAACATCTTGTGCCTGCATGCAAAAAGCTTAATTTACTTGCTGGGTACCAGTTTTGCTGATGGGACATTGTTTGATACTCGTCTTGTTGGGCACCTTTAACATTGTGATTGCACATTTCACGTGTAATATGTGCACATTACGCATACGAAGTTGTGTAATGATTAATTTACACACTACTGCTGACACAACATTCACTACAGTGTTATGGACTTCCACCCTGGGCCTTGAGTATCCGCCATTGTAACAGCTGTGACGTTGCACTTATCCCTTATTTAATTCTACATCCGCATTTTTCTTTTTACATCCATTCCTGTGACAATACATCGAGTAAATAACCACCATGCCTTATATAATTTGACGTCTGTTAACACACGCCTACGTCTTCCCCTTTAATGGATGTCTACCTCACACCCGGCATAACATGTCGGCTCCAACAGGCCACGTGTACGGACTTTAACATAATGCTAAATGCTAACGTTAGCATGATATCTAAGTAACCGGATAAGCCGGTAGCGCGGAAAACCGGCTGATTACTTCTCAAGACTGGTGCCAACCTCAGAATCTTTGGGTGTTCACCTATCCACTGCCGCCAGATCTATAAACGCATGTGTAATTTTTAAGCAAAGTGTACATCTTTACCGGCGAAAAGTGTGATTTAAACCTAGCTAATGTTGCGAGAGAAAAGCCGCCGCTGATAGGTTAGCCATCAGCGCCACAGCCCTTTCTCATGTGACGACAACCACTTCAGACTTTAAAGACTCCACCGACACAGTATTAGTCTTATACATACGAGACGTTAAAGTGGGGGGAAAAAAGCACAACAATTTGGTAAAATCTCGATTTATTTGGCTTCGTCAGGACGACTGGTACAGATGACATAATGGCTGCCATTTTGATCAAAGCACAACCCGTACAGCTAGCGTGCCTATCTAACATCTATATCACGCCCAAACGAAATACAATAAGATTAACGCTGATGATAGTTCATGAGCCAGACTTTAAATTGGCAGATCAGAAAAACAAAACAAACTCACCATTTTGACGGATGGTTTTGGATTCGCTCAGTCGAGAAAAGAGACAGGAAGTTTTACACTGCCCACCTCACGATGGCAGGGAACAGGCAGGGAAGAGGCCGCTGACGTCAGAAAACAGGGCTTTATAGCACATGCGTCAGACGCATGTACGTCTTCACGTATTGTTGTTACGTTTAAAATCCCTTCCCTCGGTGCCTTCGCTCATCTTTGATTTTGCTTCTGACAAAGTGAAAGGATAATTTATATCATCACTCCGGCGAAAAAGACTATTTTTTTTTTTTTTGTGACAAGACAAAATATTAACTCTGCGAAGAAGTTGTAGTCATTGCTGAACATGATTGTAATAGGCAGGTCTACCTTAAAATACAAGTTGTTGTTTTCGCATTTGCATCAATAAATATGATTAAAAGAAAATGTAGGCTATTTAGGCCTAAGCTCAATGTATTTTGAGTCGGTCTACTATTGCCTATAGCCTGCAACGTACTTCTTACGTTCCTTATTTATTAGAAATATGGAGGAAATATGCCTGAAGAGAAATCTCTAGCCCAAATCTCATGTCTCAATGTCGAAAGTGGACCAAAAGGAAAAAAAACAGCTGTGAAAGACAAGATCAGATCAGATAAACTATATTGATCCCCCATTGGAGGAACTTTTGGTGTTACAACAGCTCAAAAAACAGGAATATAATTAGCAAAAATAGCAAAAAGTAAAAACATAATTCAAGTTAATTAAATAAAGGGAAAAAAATATAATAGAACTAGATTAATACTATGTATATACACTATGACCACTTTCACTTGTGGAAAGACAGTTATTAAAAAAAGCACATTGTGTAGCATTATTGATTTTGAGTCACGAGGTGGTGATGCTTCACGACACAGGTTAAATGTAGGAAACAGTCATAACATGTACTCTGGTGATAACAAATGCTGAAAAACAAAACATAACAGAGTAAAGCATTATTAACAGTCATTCGACTAAATTGAAATTGTTAGATTGTAAGTGTTTTGTCATGATGAAGATTTTTCAGGTCGCCATATACTCAATTATCCAGCAGATGGTGCTCTAGCTTCGCTTCCAGAAACACTAACTTCCAACACACCAGTTTTTGAAACACCTATAGGCTATTATAGGCTAATTCTCAACTGTGTAATCCAGACGATCACCAAATAGTTAATTATGAAGTAATCATGTTATTCTTACAGAGAAGTATATCCTGGAATGAATGCATCATTTCTACAAACCTAACTATAAAAACTTTCAGTAGTCTCATGTATGCTATCTTCTACTTCCACATTGTGTGCATTCTTTTTTTAAGGATTCCAACTCTCCAATAGAGGGAGATTGAATGCTTCATAATATATTCTTTTTAAAACAGTCATCATTACAGCGCTTCATTTCATGTCATGATGAAATCCTACTAAATATTTGATAAGATATGTTGTGTGAAACTCCTTAACCAACATATTTTCAGGAAGTTATAAGGATTTCTTGCATTGTGTGTGGTTATATCTTTTATGCCAAATTACAAGTCTATAGATTTTCTTATACGGGTTCACATATCTATTTATCATTTTGAGAATTAGAGTTATTGACTGACTGTTGGCAGCTTGTAGACCATCCCTTGTTGTTACATTATGATTACAGTATATTCAATGGAAGTCTCCATTTCCATTAACATCACGTACCTGGATAATACCGAAGGACACATGTATGGGGAAGGTCCTTGATTAAAGTGTGACCTGTGTGTAATATTAATAATACATTTGATTAATTCTCAACTCCTTCTAACCTCTAATGGACCATATTTTTCGGTTCTCAATGCTTGGTTGAATCCCCCTTTCGGATCTGCTTCAATGCAATCCTCACCTCCATGGTGTTTCACTGTTTACTTACAGCCTCAGATAAGTCAAATAAGGCCCTAAATCAACTACACTTTTCATTATTGATAAAAGGCTTATATTGCTTTTTTCACTCAAAAAAAAAAAGTGTTTGCATAACGGATGGTTTGCAAGGTTAATCCAAACTCATTTTAATAGAGGTAATCAGGTACAACATAATTATGAAACACAAAAAATGTCCTGCAATCATCCCTACTCTCCTTTCACTATGCACGGTTATGTGATGAATTCTATGGACATGTCGCAAAAGCTTTCTGTGAAAAGTATTCCTTTGGGGTTGTTGGACTGTGGGAGTGCAATGTTACACACTTAGGAAACAATGGGGCCTAAAATGGACACAGACATGCATACCCCAAAACACATACCAAGTAGATTTGACTGTGTTAATTAGAATTGAAGAAAGGAAGTAAACTGTGGAAAATTTTCTAATTTAACGCCATCACACTGATCTGATCTGCTTGTGTAGCCCCGTGTAGCAGCTCGACGTGTGCTTTTCATATCTGACAACACTCACACAGAATGATTGATTACTCAGCCTGATTAATCGACTATGGATTGAAATGACACCAGACTTTTAGCGGAATATGATTAGATAGATAAATCAACTTTATTGTCTGTCCCAACAGTGACATAAATTATCATTTGACAAGGCTAAAATAAAAATAAAAGATAATAAAAAGATTTTAAAAAATGATACACACTTACAAAAAAAACTCAAGAATATCTTGATGCTTTGTGTGGACAGAAAAATAAAACTGACTATCTGTGTTGAATTCAGTTTGACCCTCTAAAATACACAAAGCCCTAAAAGTGTTCGACATTTGTGATTTGGAGTCAGACTGAAGATCAATCAGTTCCAGTTGAAGGTCGTGTGGTGCTGTTTCAGGGTCGTGTGACAGGGGACAGGACACCAGCTGAAGTGACTTGTCCATTTTTTCAAAATCAGAGAACCAACGGCAGAATTCTCTGTGCAGGTCGTCCAGTGATTTGCTATACTTCTTCACGTGGCTAGTGTGGGAAAATGAGTGAAAGATTTGTTTGAAATTTGTCTGGAGAATAAAGTCAGCTTGGCTTTGAAGGCTCTCACATTTGTGTGTCGTGCACTAGAGTGGTAAAATAAGTCCTGGTGATCCGCATCTGTTTCCTCCAGGAACACAATGAACTGACGGTGCTGGAGTCCCCTTGCTCGTATAAAATTCACAAGTTTTACTACTGGATTCACCACACGATTGAGCTGCAATACAGACTTACATTCCTGATGAATGATGCAGTGAAGGAAAATAACATCCTGGTCAGGGTTTTCCTCTTTCACTTTATCCTGGATTCTTTTCAGCAGCCCGACGTGTTTTCCAGTTAAATTTGGTGATCCATCCGTGGTGACATTGGCAAGTTTACTCCAAGGTAGCTTCATTCTCTCGATCACAGCAGACACGCTGTCTTATAAGTCCTCTTTCAGGGACTTAGGAGCTGAGCAGTGTCTTTTATGTCGTTACTTTCATCCAGTGTAGTATTTACGTAAAGGACTGTGCCTTTTTGTTTAACTCGCTGGCAATATCTTCATCAATCAGTTCCACACAGCGAGTCACTGTCCTTCGTGATAAACTGATTTTTTCAAACTTGCCTTTGCTCTCCGAACATAAGAGACCTGCTGTCTCTATCATGCAGTCTTTCAAAATCTCACCTTCTGAGAAAGGCTTGCAAGCCTTTGCTAATTTAAATGCCAGCAAAAAAACTTGCCTTGGTACTGGACTCTTGAATCGCATTTTGTCGGTGAAAAATGTTTTGCTGAGTCAGTAAATTAGCCATCAGCCTCTCAGCAGTAGCCGCCCGTTTAGTTCTTGCGTTGACTGGTTGCTAGCATAGTTAGCATGCTTCGTTGCAAAGTCATGGCTGATGTTGTATTCTTTAAAAACTGCAACAGTTTCCTGGCATATCAGACTTACAGCCGTTGATCGGATATCAGTGAAAAAATATTTTGCTGTCCACTCCTTATTAAACACTCTGCACTCACTGTCCACTTTTCTTTTCTTTGGTCCGCTCATTTTTACAGAAGGGCTCAATGTACAATGTGAAAAGTGAAGTTGAGAGTAATGCTGCATTCATGTCACAATGTTACAATTCACTTAGCAGATGCTTTTATCCAAAGCGATGTACATCAGAGAGTAAGTACAACACTAATCCATTCATACACCGCCACTGAAGCAGCGGGAGCAATGCAGGGTTAAGTGTCTTGCCCAAGGACACATCGGACATGTTGCTCAGCTGGGGATCGAACCCTCGACCTTCCGGTTGAGAGGCGGAAGGAGCAGCAGGATTTGGCTAAGCAGCAAGCCGTGCAGTTCGATTTGTGTAAAAGTCGTAGTACTGGCAAGTTCAAAAAGGCAACACTATGAGATTCAGAGAATATTGGTATGCAGAGCTGTTCATGACAGAACTGTCATGCTGCACAGCTGCAAAGGGTCCTGCTGCATTGGCATCTTTTGCTGTTTCCACATATTGCAGATAATAGTAATTTAAACATCTGTAATGTGTAATTTATAAATTCTAGGCTACAGCGTAATCAAAATTCTATACATTAAGTTTTTTTAGAAAGCTGTCAGACAATAGCGCAATCAATAAAGCCTGTTGGGGATCTTAAAAGAAGCATCTCTCGGACTGGAGGAGGCTGGCTGCATCCCAGCCTGAAATGATCCAAGAACGAGGAGCGAATTGCTTCTTTCATAGGTTCAGCCTCACTATCAAGCACAACTGGCACAGACAAACCTGCATCTTTGTTGGATAATGTCGGTTGCACAAACAGGCTTCATTCTTCCCTTTAATATTACACTAAAAGAGATAATTGAAAACCTGAAACGTGTTGCATCAAATTAATAAAGTGTTTGACTTAATGTTGTGTGATGTGCATCTCTAATTTGAATAGCCCACTTTTCAAACATAAGAATTTAACACTTACATATAGGATGATCCTGTCTCCGTCTAACAGCCTCCAGAGGAGTCTCCAGAGGAGTCTCCAGAGGAGGCTGTTCGATGTCACATGTAGAGTGGTCTAAGTGCGTGTGCTGAGTGCATTTATGAATATGACACATCAGCATATTATTGATTATTTAAATCTCTGGACATACTGATTAGTCACATGTAGAGTGGTCTAAGTGCGTGTGCTGAGTGCATTTATGAATATGACACATCAGCATATTATTGATTATTTAAA